GTTTGCCCACAACTACACGCTTCCTCCCAGACTAAGCCGCCTTCCCCTTTCTTGGCTCTTTTCCCTTTCACTTCTCGTGGTTCCTCTTGGGCCTGAGTTCCTGTTTCCTGACCTCCCTGTTCACTCCCCAAATGGCCAGGGTGTTGAGAGGCCCTCTGCCCCATGTAGTGGCTGTGGCCTGAGCTACCGTACACACCCCATTTCTGCCCCCAGCTCAAGGGCTCGGAGTGGCCAAAAGCAGGAGGGCATCCTTCTGCCCAGCTTATCCTGCTCTTGCCCATCAGGACGTGAACCTGAAGATGCCCAGGAACAACCAGCTGCTGCACTTTGCCTTCAGGGAGGACAAGCAGTGGAAGCTGCAGCAGGTAACCGGGCCCTTCCCCAGCCACGACTGAGGGGCACAAGGGCAGGCAGGGGCAGTCCCTTGCAGCGCTGAGGCCTCCTGGGCTGACCACTGTGGGGACCTGCAGCCGCAGCAGGCTTGGGAAGGTGTTTCCTAGCAGCACAGCTGTGGTGGGCAGTGCCTGGTCTCCTAGCCTCCTATGTGTAGGCCCCCAGCCCAGCGGGAGCTACAGGGATGCCCTGAACAAGTCACTCCCTGCCCAGAGCTTCCAGGGGCTTCCCCTGGCTCTTGGAGACCAAGTCCATGCTTCCTAACAGCACCTATGTGATTGGGCCTGGTTTCTGCCCCCTCCTTCTCTCCTCTCACTGGCCACCAGCTGTTTCCACCTTAGGGCCTTTGCTCGGGCTTGTCCCTCTGCCCGGAGTCCACTCCCTCAGCTTTTCTCATCACGTGAGCGTCAGCTCAAGAGTCGCTTCCCTGGAGCCTCTCCCTCACCGCCCTCATCACCCTGTTTGTTTCCTTGTGCAAGTTGCACCGTCTGTTACCTTGTGCCTTTACTCTATTATCTTCTGTCCTCCTTTGGAAAGTGAGCCACATGAGACCAGGGACCAAGCCTGACTCACAGCACCCAGCCAGGGCCTGGCCTGAAGGCGGCACCCACCCTGCCCCTCCTAGGAGGATAGGCCCTCAGGGTGGGGGCCCGTAGGCTGGGGCCCCCAGGGACGTGGCTGCTGTGAAGCTGGCTCCTCTCCCTGCCGAGGCCCAGCCCACTAACTGCTCATTGGGTGCTGTTTTTAGATCCAGGACGCCAGGAACCACGTGAGCCAAGCCATTTACCTCCTTGCCAACCGGGAGGAGAGCTACCAGTTCAGGACAGGAGCAGAGGTCCTCAAGGTGAGCTGCCCGTAGGGATGGGAGACCCAGGTTCCCTGACCTCTGACTGGGCCCCTGGAGAGCTCTGCCCCCACATTCTCAGGTGTAGCCAATGGTTGACCCTTCACCTCTGAGTGTATACATGTCCATCCAGCCATAGTTGAAAGGCTCACAGCCCAGGCTCCAGAAACAGACCTGGGCTCTGATCCCAGGACCCCCACTATGAGCTGTGCAACCTCAAGTCACTTACTTAGCTATTCTGTGCCTCAGTAGCCTCACCTGTAAAAGGGGGACGAGCTGTAGTGACTGCCAGTCGTGATGATGCAGGTAAAGTGGCCTCTAGTAAACGCTTGGTAAACAGTAGCTACAGGTTTTAGTACCAGCAACAGAAAAACTTTTGTAATTAACAAAGTGAATTCATGTGGTGTGGAGAGACAAGATGAGCTCAGATGCCCTGAGTTCATGCTTTAGCTCTGCCCCTGACTTGCTGTGTGTCCTCAGGTGGTTCACCTATCCTCTCTGGACCTCGTAAAAATTGAAACCAGATGGACTAAGGTCTTTCTCAGAACTGTGACCACTCTCTGGGGTGTAATGTGCAGCCCCTATGCCTCCACCCAGTAATTCTGCCTTTCCCTGGAGCCAGGTGACCCCAGCACCACGGCAACAGCTGGATGAATAGCTGGAAGCAGTGGAAACTGGGGCTCTGAGTTCGAGCCAAAGCTTTGCTCCTTGACAAAGGGAAGGGATGAGTGCAGATGGTTCCACTGTTCCCTAGCTGTGTGACCTTAACCCTTTGGAGCCTCAGTTTCCTCACCTGTGAAAATGGGGTTGGTGTCCACCATAAGGCTTCAACTTAGTCATCCCAGTTCTTCCTTGAGGAAGCTCTCCGTGGCCCCTTACACCCAAGCTGAATTAGGGTCCCTTCTTCTAAGCTCCTTCATTGCCTGTACCCTCATCCACCACGCCCTCGTGCCCCTGGGACTAACTTCTGGTATCTTCTATTCCCCATTGGACCAATACCCAGGATCCCAGGCAGTAGAACCTTCTGTCCTGCCCCCGACCCCCAGCTGGAGCCCAATTACCTGCATCTTTAACAAGCCCCCTGCTGCAGGGGTTCGGGCCCTGAGACTGTGACCTCCAGGGAAGGAGCTAGGAGCTACCATAATTTTGTTGCTACTGACACAGGGGTGGGGACGGGGAGGGGATCAGGACCAGGCCCCGCTGCCCTCACAGCGGCTGTGACCAGCCCCCTTCCCCCAGCTGATGGATGCCGTGATGCTGCAGCTGACCAGAGCCCGAAACCGGCTCACCACTCCAGCTACCCTCACTCTGCCTGAGATCGCTGCCAGCGGCCTCACGGTCAGTGGTGCCTCAGGCCGGCCCCTGCTCCAGGAGAGGCAGTCCCCACAGAGGGGCCCAGCTCGCGCCCGGGAGGGACACGGGTGCCAGGAGGTCCTGCAAGCCCCAAATTGTCGACAGAGTCCTATGTGCAGTTTTCTGGGATGGGGTCCTTGGCTTCCATTCTGCATCCCTCAGATATGTACCCCCCTGATCTGGATCAGTGGGTCCCAGGCCCAGTGGTGCAGGAAGCTATCTGTGGTACCTGAGAAGACACTGGAAGCCCCAGTCCATGGGATGGGGACTGGGAGTCCCCGGGGTGGTTGGAGGGGTGGGCGTGAGATGTGCCTGCCCGGCCCCACTCCCCACAGAGGATGTTCGCCCCCGCCCTGCCTTCCGACCTGCTGGTCAACGTCTACATCAGCCTCAACAAGCTCTGCCTCACCGTGTACCAGCTGCATGTCCTGCAGCCCAATTCCACCAAGGTGAGCACCCCACCCACCCCATCCCTGCCCGCCCTAGGCCCCAGGCCTGACCCAATCTGATGTTCCTCTGCCTAGAACTTCCGCCCAGCCGGAGGTGCCGTGCTTCACAGCCCCGGGGCCATGTTGTAAGTACCCTGCCTGGGAGGGGTCCCTGGAGCGCCCTCGCCTGTCTGCATCTCAGGGGATGGGGTCCTGGCCCGCTGAACTGCCCTCAGGGACCCTCCCATCTCCCCACAGCGAGTGGGGTGCACAGCGTCTGGAGGTGAGCCACGTGCACAAGGTGGAGTGTGTGATCCCATGGCTGAACGATGCCCTCGTCTTCTTCACCGTCTCCCTACAGCTCTGCCAGCAGCTCAAGGATAAGGTGGGGACATGGGGGCGGTCAGGGCCGGGCTGGGCCTCACGCAGATTAGGCCAGCCAAACAGCAGGTTGTTTAGCCCCTTCTTTTTTGGGGCGGCACACCTCTAAAGGGCCCCCTAATCTTAAGATCTGTCGTACCCTCTGCACACCCCAAACAGGTGGGCCATGGTGTTGCTTGGCAACAGTATCCTCTTCCTGACACATGGCCCTTGGATGACCTTCAAATCTCACCTGGGTCACAGAGGGTGCAGCAGGGGCCAGATCCCCTAGCACCACCACTCACCATGTCCCCCCATCTCCCTCCTTCCCCAGATCTCTGTGTTCTCCAGCTACTGGAGCTACAGGCCTTTCTGAACAGAGCGCCCAAGAGCCTGTCCCCCTGGGAATGGCCCCTGCCCAGGGAGTCCCTGTTCCCCACCCCACCCCCCCACACACACACATAAACACACACGCACGCACCCACACACACAAAGTGCCGACCAGAGCTCGGCACTGCGGGCTATTTATTTCCCTCTTCACCCTGCCCTGCCTGTCACATGTGCACAGATGGGACTGAACACTGGACCCACTGGGAGGAAGTGACACTGGCGTGCTTTTTGTTTTGAATGGGGGAGGTTAGGAAGGCGGAGCTTCAAGGTAGCCTATAGTCCAAGCCCTGCCCTCGCTCCAAGGCAGGAACCTTTGGACTCAGGCTGGGGCCAGGCCCAGGGCTCTCCTTCCTCCCCTCTTCGCAGCCTGTCCTCCCTGATGGCAAGGGGCAGCCACACACCCCCTCCCACTGGAGCCTGAGGAGTGGGTGGTGGCCCTAAGCTCTGAGTTGGGGAAGGAGGACAGAAGCTGCCCACCATGAGCTGTAGTGCCCTTGACTGTGTTCGCTTGGCAACCCTGGCAGGGACTTCAAGAAATAAAGATCATCCGACTTTGCCTGGAGCCCTTTTGTCTGTCTGTCTGTCTGTCTGTCTGAGTAGGGACCTGGCCAGGGGTCCCTGGTAGTCAGGAGGGCCGAGTACCCAGTGACTGAACCCCTGGCCTCCAAGGGGCTGAATGGGATGGTGAACGGGCAGCCGCTGGGTGGCTGCAGCACGTCACCCGAGGTCTCCTGGTGACAGTCATGCCATCTGAAGGTTGTGAGGGACACAGGGGGCATCTGGATGAAGCAGTGGGGGCCTACACTGCCCACCGTGACAGGAGGCTCGGAATACACTCCAGACTCAGGCTTTGGCTGAACAAGGCATTGTTATTGCTGCCCAGCAGGACAAAGGCAGGGGAGCAAGAACTCTCCGCATTAAGGCTCCAGGGCAAGGTTATCAAATCCCCCGGCGTGTTTCTGCAAGAGAGGCACACGGGCTGGTGGCTTCAATCCTCGGCCCCCGGCCCGCCCCACCCCACCCCACCGCCACCTTCTCGGCCTGGCCCTGGTGCTCCGGGCTCACCTTCCGGGACCTGGAGGAGTGGCTTTGGCAGCAGCCACAGCAGCAGCAATGGATGCAGACGGCCAGCAGCAGGAGCGCCACAATGCCTGTGGGCAGGATGGGTATCCAGATATGGCCCTCGGCCTGGGAGGCTGCCGGGGGCCAGAGGCCAAGCCACACTCACCGAGGAAGATGAGGAAGATGATGAAGGCACCGGTGTCCCACTCGGACTGGAACAGCTGGTGGCTCCACAGTTTCCCCAGCATTTGCTGGGCTGTGGCGCTCAGCTCCTGCTCCACATCCTCCGTTAACAAGGCCATCTCAGCTGGATGGTCCTGGGCACCGCCTGCTCCAGCCCCCCAGAACTGCACCTCAGATGCAGTGCCGCATCCCTGCCCCGCTGCACTGCAGCCCTGGCCCTGCCCTCCCACACCACCCTTCTTGGCCCCAGCCCCTACCCCTGCCCCTACCCCAGCCTCTCTTCCACTTCTCTCCTGGCCCTGGCCTGAGCAAGCTCCTCCCCGCCCACTCCCCCCAGCAGCCCCACCCCTGGGCCCCCACCTGCCTTGGAAATCTCCCAGCCAAGCAGGTGCTAGGTCCTGGGAATACAGATTACTTCCTGCTTCCGGGTCCACACCACCTGAGGCCTTGGCAACCAGCCCCGCCCCCCACCAGTCCCCCAGGGCCCAGGTGAGTCAGCAGGTGCAGCATGGAAGGAGGAGGCCACAGGCCTCTCGGCCTCTTCATTCCAGAGATTTTTCTCAATGGACCAGAGAGCCAACCTGGAACACAGCAGACACTCAGCCGCTGTTGCCTTCATGAATGAAGAAAAGACAGAAGAAAAATGGTGGCAGGTTGGAAGGAGGGAGGGAGGTGAAAAAGAAAGGAGGGGAGGGAGGGAGGGGAGGGAGAAGATGTTTCTGTTCCACCGCCCTTGCCTGGGCAGCGACTGTGTGCCTGGCAGCGCAGCAGCAGCAGCCTTTGGGGTCCTTCTCTATTCTAATCCTCACAGTGATGCTTGTGAGGCGATGGTTATGGTCGCTCAAATGAGCTCTCTCCCCAGAACTTGGAGCCCAGGGCTCCTGACACGGCACCTGGAGCTGTCTCGTCTCCCCCCTTACCCCCAGAGCAGGGGCCAGGCCTGCTAGGCCCTGGGGACCAGCTGTAAATCAGGTGGACACACCTTCGTATCCTTGTGGGGCTTACGGTCTCGCTGGGAAAACATGTTGGCTAATGTTAGGCTCTGTGCCTGACGCTATACAGGCACACTTTACTGCACTTCACAGATGTTGCATTTTTGATAAATTTAAGGTTTGTGGAACCTTGAGTTGAGCAAGTCTGTCGGTACCATTTTCCAACAGCATTTGGAAACTTTTTCATTTTTATTATATCTGTTACAGCAATCTGTGAGGGGTGATCTTTGATGTTATCATTGTAATTATTTTGGCATTTTTTAGCAAACTAATTTTTAGTCAAGGTACGTATGTTGTCTTTTTTAGACACAATGCTATTGCCCACTTAATAGACTACAATATAGTGTAAACAACTTTTACATGCACTGGGAAAGCTGTGTGACTCGCTTTTTTGCAATATTCGCTTTATTGTGGTGGTCTGGAACTGGACCCACAATATCCCTGAAGGATGCGTGTACCTAATGTATTCCTCATGGAAATCCTAAAGTGGGTATTATTGCTATTCCCATTTTACAGATGTGAAAACTGAGGCCTTGAGAAGTTCAGCAACTAGCTCAGGTCACACATGTATTCATTTCCTGTTCTTGCTATAACATACTACCGTAAACTTAGTGGCTTAAAACAATTCAAGTTTATTATCTTACAGTTCTGAAAGTCAGAGTCTAAAATGAGTGGGCAGCGCTGTGTTCCTCCTGAAAGTCCTAGGGGAGAATCAATTCCTCAGCTTTTTTTTTTTTCCTTTTAATTTATTTAATTTATTTATTTTTGGCTGCATTGGGTTTTCGCTGCTGCGCGCAGGCTTTCTCCAGTTGCAACAAGCGGGGGCTACTCTTCGTTGCGGTACATGGGCTTCTCATTGTGGTGGCTTCTCTTGTTGCGGAGCACGGGCTCTAGGCACGCTGGCTTCAGTAGTTGTGGCACTCGGGCTCAGCAGTCGTGGCTTGCGGGCTCTAGAGCACGGGCTCAGTAGTTGTGGCGCACGGGCTTAGTTGCTCCACAGTAAGTGAGATCTTCCCGGACCAGGGATCGAACCTGTGTCCCCTGCATTGGCAGGCAGATTCTTTTTTTTTAACATCTTTATTGGAGTATAATTGCTTTACATTGTTGTGCTAGTCTCTGCTGTGCAACAAAGTGAATCAGCCACATGCATACATATATCCCCATATCCCCTCCCTCTTGCGTCTCCCTCCCACCCTCCCTATCCCACCCCTCTAGGTGGTAACAAAGCACCGAGCTGATCTCCCTGTGCTATGCGGCTGCTTCCCACTAGCTATCTCTTTTACATTTGGTAGCGTATATATGTCAGTGCTACTCTCTCACTTTGTCCCAGCTTACCCTTCTCCCTCCCCATGTCCTTAAGTCTACTCTATGTCTGCGTCTTTACTCCTGTCCTGCCCCTAGGTTCTTCAGAACCTTTTTTTTTTTTTAGATTCCATATATATGTTAGCATACGGTATTTGTTTTTCTCTTTCTGACTTATTTCATTTTGTATGACAGGTTCTCCGTCCGTCCATCTCACTACAAATAACTCAATTTCATTTCTTTTTATGGCTGAGTAATATTCCATTGTATGTATGTGGCAGGCAGATTCTTAACCACTGTGCCACCAGGGAAGTCCCAGTTCCTCCGCTTTTCCAGCTTCTAGAGGCCACCCACCCACATTCCTTCGTTCATGCCCCACCCCCATCACTTCCACTTCTGCTTCCATCCTCACACCTTCTCTGGCTCTGCTCTTCCTGCCTCCCTCTTATAAGGACCCCAGTGATTACACTGGCCCACAGGATAATCTCCCCATCAGAATCCTTAATCACATCTGCAAAGTCCCTTTTGCCACATAAGGTAACATATTCACATGTTCCCAGGGATTCGGATGGGAACTCTTTGGGCATCATGATTCTTCCAACCACACCTAGTGAGCAGAGAAGTCTGAACTGGAACCCAGCCATCAGATCCCAGAGCCCTTGACCACCATGTAATACAGTCTCCTGTGCTGGGATCCCCATCTTACACTCTCCATCCCCTCCATTCCTGTTCTGAGATCTCAGATTCCTGTTGCCCAGGGAGGGTAACTTTGAAATGACTGTTCTATTGCAAAAGGGGGTAGAGACGCAGCCACTGGGGAAAACGGTCCCTTGAAAAGTTACGCATAGTCTTATTATAAGACCCAACAATTCCACTCCTAGATATATATACCCAAGAAATTAAATCATGTCCACGCCGAAACTTGTACACAAATGTTCACAGCAGCAGTTTTCATAATAGCCAAAAAGTGAAAGCACCCCAAAATATCCACAAACTGGTGAATGAATAAACACATTATGGTCTCTCCATGTGGTGGAATATTACTCAGCCATGAAAAGGAACAAAGCACTAACACATGCTACAAAGTGGATGAACCTTGAAAACATGATGCTGAGTGAGAGAAGGACAAAAGGCCACATAGTATGTGACTCCGTTTATATGAAACGTCCAGAATAGTCAAATCCATAGAGACAGAAAGTAGTGTTTGCCAGGGGCAGGGGGACGGGGATAGGGTGCTTAGTGGTAATGGAATTTCCTTTAGAGGTAATGAACATGTCTTGGAACTAGGTAGCAGTGGCAGATTTGCAACACTGTGAACATATCAATACTAAATGCCACTGATCTGTTCACGTTAAAATGGCTAGCAGTTAATTTTTATGTTCTGTGAATTTTACCTCAATTGAAAAAAATAAAAAGCGGGGAGGGGGGATGGTTTAATGACTGTGGCCCCTGCCCACCCCTTGGCCTGGCCGAGTGGGCAGGAGCCAGTCCTCTCCTCTCCCCACTGACCCTCAGTCTTCCTGTCCAGATGCCCAGGTGCCTCATTTCTTGTTTATTCTCATTAAAGAAAAGCTGGGATATTCCAAGTCATTAAAAGACAGAAAGCACCCATAGAGGCCCTTGGACCTAAGCAGAGCAATGATGGGATAGAGGCCATGGCAGGATGCATTTCAGGCCAGTCAGACCTCGGACTCGGATCTTGCTCCCAGCCCTTAACACCCACCCGTGTGTGACCGAAGGCCCACCCCCTGACCCCTCTCTGCCTCAGTTTCCTCATCTGTAAAGTGGGCGTATGGAGAGTATTCCCCCTTCTCAGGCTGCTGAGGATTGAATGGAATTGATGTAAACACTCCCTTGGCACAATGAATGCACTAAATGGTTGTGTATTACTCTCACCCAACCTGTGGGTACGATTCCCTCCAGTCTTGATTCTTTGGATACATTGGGTTCACCTGCCATCCACACTCTGCTCACTTTACCCTTGGCTTTCCCCAGTCCACATGGCCAAGAGCGCCTTGAATGGTCCTGCTTTCTGCAGACCTGATCCTCCAGTCCGCAGTCCCTGTGGGCATCTTCCCCCCAGGTTTCCAGATCCTACATCACTCACGCGTGACACCTCTCCTGGAGAAAGTGTTTTCTGGGCATAGAGGCTTATTTCCTTAGGAGACATTCCCAGAGACGGAATCTCCTCCCGTGCAAGGTGAGTCTCCGTGTCAGCAGCGCTGTTTGGTCATCCGCACAGAACGTTCTCATCTGCGTTGATGAGGAGGCCAGCCTTGCCATGTCCCTCAAGAGCTGTGGCGTAGCTTGAGAGAGTTCTCCAGCAGGAATGGCACGCGTTCAGGGCAGGCTCTGCCCAGGGTCCTGCCCAGCCCCACTCCTGGCCTCCAAGCCTGGAAAGTGAAGTTTAAGCCTCTGTCTTCAGATGTGTAGAAAGTGGGGGAGCAGAAGGGCATGGGCAGGGAGGGACAGAGGCTGCTGGGGCTCAGGACAGTTGAGCTGAGCAGATCGGGCAGAGTTGCTGAGTCCTGGTGGGCAGAGTGGGGGCGGCAAACCACCACCTGCTTTTGTAAATAGTCTGACACGCAGCCATTCCCGTCCATCTACTTGTGGCTGCTTTCCCACTGCAACGGCAGAGCCGAAGAGTAGTTGCAACAGAGATCTTATGATTAGCAAAACTTAAAATCTATACTATCTGGCCTTTTACAGAAAACATTTGCCAACATCTGAAACAGAGGATTGCTTAGGCTTGCAAACTCAGGTGCCAGGAAACAGGTGAGAACGAAATAACTGAGATGAACTTGGTATAGGAAACATCTTATTAGGGAGACATTAGGGAGGGGTGAGGGCTATGGCAAACTGGAGAGCACGTAGCCCATCTAAAGGGGGCAGCTAGGGAGTTCCCGGGTGGTCCAGTGGTTAGGACTTGGCGCTTTCACTGCCAGGGCCCGGGGTTCAATCCCTCGTCAGCAAACTAAGATCCTGCAAGCTGCGTGACGTGGCCAAAAAATAAATTTAAGAAGAAGAAAAGAGGGCAGCTTGTGTCAGCTGTAGGCTGGACCCAGAGTTGCCAAGGCTTATAATCTCTAAGATACACTAGAAATCTAGATGTTTGTGTGAACAAGAAAAGAGGCTGCAGAGGGTGAGCATGTGGACACAGATCCCAGCCCTGCCACTTCCTCACTGTGTGACCTTGAACCACTTTCACTCCCTGGACTCTCTGATCTGTAAACTGAGGGGTAGTAGCTGCACTTACTTCACAGGGCTCTGATGATTATTAACAAGTTAACATCCTAGGACTCCTAAAACAGTATTGTGCACAGACAAAACTCTGGCTATATTGGCAATTTAAAACACTACGATGCCAACAATGGACGGACCGAAGAAAACACATGGATGTTGTACTTTCTGGCCATGGGTCACAGGTTTGCTTCCCCAACAGAGTGGTTAAGGGGCATGAACTTGGAAGCAGAGGGACTGGCTGCTGCCCAGAGCTGCCACTTACCAGCTAAGTGACCTTGGGCAAAGGTGCTTCCCCGGGGCGGGGGCAGGGGGTTCCTGTCTATAGATCTAGGCCGGGGTCATTGTGATGGTTATAGGGCAGTGACCCGAAAGGGCCTGGTGGAGTAGCTTACCTGTCCCTGTTCTCAGCCCCCTGCTGCAGAGGAGCCCCCAGGTGGGGTCACAGGAAGGGGGTGGAGCTCAGGTTCTTCAGTTAACTGTCACCCTCTCCCCTCCCCCTCAGCACATAACCAGGGTCTGCCAGGACAGGGCAGCCCCCCAAGGCTCCCACAGGGATCCAAGGCCACCAGGTGCCACATGAGGCTGCTTCTCTCCCTCTCTGTCCCCCATGGGTCCAGACCCTGAGTTTTGCCAGGCCGGCCACACTCTGCTGTGGGAGAGTCTGAGTGGGGAGAGACAGATCCCTGGGGCTGGTGCATATCAGAAAGCGGGTTCAGTCTCCCTTGAGAGGCAGCTCCCCCAGGCACCCCTCGACAAACCCCGTGGGCGGTGGGGACTTGGGGGATGCATAGGTGAGGGGGCATGAAGTACGGGAGTGCCTGGGAGCAGATCTCAGGAGTCAGGGTTCAGAAATGAGAACTCGGGTGGTCCCCCTCTGGAGCCCCAGCGACTCTTCTCCCCACCCCACCCGGATGACAGGCATCGTTGTTCCTCAGCCCCATGGACCCCCTGAGGCAGTCCCCCTCCCGCAGCTCGTCACGGGCCTCCAGTCCGAGGACCCTACCCTGCGAGATGCTTGGTTACGTGGGCATCGAGGCCGTGCTGGACCAACTGAAGATCAAGGCCATGAAGATGGGGTTTGAGTTCAACATCATGGTCGTTGGTGAGTGAAGGGCCTCGGGCTCACAGGAGGACAGACCAATGGACGCCACCCTGTGCGCCTGGACCTATCGCCTCTTGGAGCCTCAGCCTCCCCATCTGTAAAGTGGGCCTGATAGTCGTACCTCACAAGAGTGTTGTAGGTGGAAATCTGGGAAACACTGAATTGTGAAAAGACAAAAATCACCGTGAAGCCCCAACCAAACGCAAACAAAGCAATAAAAGGGGAGGCCATGTGTGGCAGGAAGTAGGGAACACCAGACTCATCCTGGTCCCAGGCCTTAACAACCCCCAGTGTGTGACCTGGGGCAGGGCCTTTGACCCCTCGCTGCCTCAGTTTCCTCATCTGGCTTAGCACAGTGCCTGGCATCTAGGAAGTTCCCCATGGGTCAGTTTTATCTGGAATTGCATTTTTATATATGCAAAATTAATGTTGTAGGTCAAAAACTACACTTCTCACAAAATAAACTGGATATAATGGAACATAAAATGTCAGAGTGTGTAGCACCAACTAAGGGCATTATTCTAAGGTGGGGGTACCCAACAGAAATGTCATAGAAGGGGACTTCCCTGGCAGTCCAGTGGTTAAGACTCTGCACTTCCACTCGTAGAGGCCCGAGTTCAATCCCTGGTCAGGGAACTAGAATCCCACATGCCACGTAGCGTGGCCAAAAAAAAAAAGAAAAGAAATGTCATAGGAGCCACATACATAATTTTAAATTCCCTAGTAGCTTCCTTTAGAAAAGTAAAGAGAAACAGGACAACTTACTTTTAATCGTCTTTTTTACTTAAACCAATACATTCCAAAAATACTATCATCTCGACATGTAATCCATATAAAACATTATTCATGAGATCATTTACATTGTTTTTGTCATAACAAGTCTGCAAAATATGGTTTATTCTTTTACACCAACAGCACATCTCAGTTCAGATTGGTGTATGGCCATACTGCCAGTGGCAATAGCCAGGTGTGGCTCCCATATTGGATAGCACAGCCCAAAGGACAATTTCAGTTCTTTTTTAATTTTTTAAATTTTATTTATTTATTTTTGGCCACATTGGGTCCTCATTGCTGCGTGTGGGCTTTCTCTCTGGTTGCGGTGAGCAGGGGCTACTCTTCACTGAGGTGGGCAGGCTTCTCATTGCGGTGGCTTCTCTTTGTTGTGGAGCATGGGCTCTAGGCACATGGGCTTCAGTTGTGGCTCGCGGGCTCTAGAGCGCAGGCTCAGTAGTTGTGCCGCACTGGCTTAGTTGCTCTGTGGCAGGTGGGATCTTCCCAGACCAGGGCTCGAAACCGTGTTGCCTGCATTGGCAGGCGGATTCTTAACCACGGCACCACCAGGGAAGTCCCAGTTTCAGTTTTAGACACAAAAGTGTGTCCTGCCCTGTGATGTAGGATGTTTACTACTGCAGGGCGTGGTCCGCGGAGTTTGAGAAGCCTGCGCAGCGGGGAGAATGGACCATCTACAAGCTCAGGCAGCATAGGGGAATCTCACTAAAAGAAGCCAGACATGAAAGAGCACGTGCTGTGTGATTCCCCAAGTAGAGGGCGGGCAGCGCTGCTCCCTACCGATGATGTCAGGAGAGTGGCTGTCCCTGGAGCTGTGTTAACAGTTACTGCGAGGAGGCAGGAGTGGTCTTGGGCGGAGCTGTGTGTTCTGTCTCTTTATCTGGTGCTGCATACATGGGTGGTTTAATTTGTAAAAATGCATTGACCTGCCCATCAACAGATGAATGGATAAACACAGTGTGGTCTATCCATCTGATGGAATATTATTTAGCCATGAAAAAGTATGAAGTTCTAGCACATGCAACAGTGTGGCTGACCCTTGAAAGCATTATGCTGAGTGGGAGCAGCCAGATACACAAGGACAGTTATTGCAAGATTCCATTTATATGAAATGTCCAGGGAATTCCCCAGAGGTCCAGTAGTTAGGACTTGGCACTTTCACTGCCTAGGGCCCGGGTTCCATCCCTGGCTGGGGAACTAAGATCCCATAAGCCAAGTGCCGCTGCCAAAAAGAAAAAAAGAAATGTCCAGAATAGGCAAATCCATCGATAGAAAGCAGATTGGTGGTTGCCAGGGGTTGGGGGGAGGGGGAATGGGGAGTGAGTGCCTAGTGGGTATAGGGTTTCTTGCTGGGGTGATGAAAATGTTTTGGAGCTAATAGGGGTAGTGGTTGCACAACACTGTGCATGTACCCAATGCCACTGAATTGTTCACTTTCAATGGTTAATGTTAATTTCTTATTATATGAATTTTGCCTCAGTAAAAAATGGGGGAAGGCATTGAGCTGGAGACTTATGATAATACGTGCTTTTCTGTATTTGTTATACTTAGAAAACAGTTTACTTTCTAAAACCATTTATTTAAGAATTTCAGAAACATGCCTAACGCATCTACAGTTGTTGCTGCCGTGTGATTACTCACAGGACAGAGCGGGCTGGGCAAGTCCACCATGGTGAACACACTCTTCAAGTCCAAGATGTGGAAGTCCACCATGCCGGGCCTGGGGGTGCCCACACCCCAGACGCTGCAGCTGCAGTCTGTGACCCACGGTGAGTGAGCACCCCCTCACCCCACCCCCCACCCCACCCAACCCAGGCCCACTCTCAGCCCCTCTGCTCTCCCCCTACAGTCATCGAGGAGAGCGGCGTGAAGCTTAAGCTGACGGTGACTGACACACCCGGCTTCGGGGACCAGATCAACAACGACAAGTGGTGGGTCCTGGCGGGGAGGTGGGAAGGGCAGAGCCCTGGCTGCCCCTGCCCCTGCCCCTCCAGTCTCTGGGAAACATCCAGGCCTGGAGCCACCTGGCTGTGGCATCTTTGAGGCTCAGTTTATTCGTCTGTACAGTGGGTGTGTGCAACTCTCCCCCCAAGATCAAAGGAGTCAAGTATGTAAAGGTCTTAGCTTGCTGCCTGGAAGCACTCGATAGAGGCTATGGTATGGCAGGGGGATAGAAGCCCACACTCCAGAGTCAGGACCCCTGGGTTTGACCACTTCCCAGCTGTATAACCTGGGCCTGGCCACGCAAGCTCTCTGAGCCTCCTCTTCCTTCTTCGTAACTTGGGGGTGACGACATCCCCTTTGCAGAGTTGTTCTAGGCTCTCAAGGAGATGAAACACAAACACACACACACAAACACACACACACACACACACACACACACACAATCGGGACTGGCTGCACAACTTGTGGGGGCCTTTATTCAAAAATTACTAAGGGGCTTCCCTGGTGGCGCAGTGGTTGAGAGTCCGCCTGCCGATGCAGGGAACACGGGTTCGCGCCCCGGTCCGGGAAGATCCCACATGCCGCAGAGCAGCTGGGCCCGTGAGCCATGGCCGCTGAGCCTGCGCGTCCGGAGCCTGTGCTCCGCAATGGGAGAGGCCACAACAGTGAGAGGCCCGCGTACCGCAAAAAAAAAAAAAAAATTACTGAGAATTGTGAGACCATACCCGCAGAGCATTCAGCCCTGCGTGGGCCCTTCTTGGTTCAGAGCCCTGGGTGCCGGCTCCATCCACACTCCCATGAAGCCAGCCCTGCACACAGCACCTCACTGAGCACTTAGTATGTGCAAGCTCTGTTCTAGACACAGGGATATAGCAATGAACAGAACTGATGAACATCTTTGTCTGCATGAAATGTATATTGTCCTGGGTGTGGGGAGGCAAACAGTGAACAAAATTAATCAGTTTTGTTGAGGGTGAACCTGAACTCTTTATCACCGACACAGGACACTTTCTGGGAGTGAAAGGGGGATGGAGCTGTAGTTGGTGGGGGAGTGCAGTTTTAAGCAGAGTGATCAAGGCAGAGGGCGGCAGGTGCAAAAGCCTTGAAGTGGCGGTGGGGTGGGAGGGGAGGCAGAGTTCAGCAGTGGGATGGGGTACGGACTTGTAGGGCAACATAAGGACTTTGGCTTTTCTTTGGCCACTGGAGGCTAAGCAGAAAAAGGATCTTTTTGGCCGCTGTGTTGACAATAGCCCTGTGGGGGGAAGGGACCCTGGCAACAATTGGGAGAGAGTCCCTGGTGGTTTGAACCAGGCTGCAGCAATTTCTCTCCTTTAATGCTCGCTCCTCCCCTACAAAGTAGGTGCTCTCTTACTGTCCCCATTTTACGGAAGAGGAAGCTGAGGAAGAGGAAGCAGGGGTCTCTCTGAAGATGCAGGGGTGTGGGGGGTTGGTACTTGGGTGATCAAGGGCCTCAGGTTGTGTGGGACTGAAATTCCTGTGTCCCAGGCAAATGGGGCGATTGGTCATCCTAAGGGGAGAGCACTCAGAGGACCTAGGTTGAGGGGGGCTCCTGGCAAGGTTCTGAGGCTGAGCCGTCTCCCACCCCAGCTGGGACCCCATCCTGGGCTACATCAATGAGCAGTACGAGCACTACCTGCAGGAGGAGATCCTCATTACCCGGCAGCGACACATCCCCGACACCCGAGTGCACTGCTGCGTGTACTTCGTGCCGCCCACCGGGCACTGGTGAGGTGGCTGAGCCGATGGGCAGAGGGCCACCTGCGTGGGGAGGAGAAGAAGAGGAGGAGGAACCCCCGGGGTGGGCTGCGGGCTGGCACCCACTCATCGTATGCTCACTGCCATCACTGCCCCGCCTGAGCAGGCTGCGGCCCCTGGACATTGAGTTCCTGCAGCGGCTCTGCCGGACTGTGAACGTGGTGCCTGTGATCGCTCGGGCCGACAGCCTGACCATTGAGGAGCGAGAGGCCTTCAGGCACAGGGTAATCTGGGCACCTGGGACAAGTCTGGGGTCAGTGGGGGTGTGGAGTGGGGGAGAATGCACAGGTGGGCTGAGGTCATCTGTGTGTGGTCCCCAGATCCAGGAAAACCTGAAGACTCACGGCATAGAGGTGTATCCACAGAAGTGCTTCGATGAGGACATCAATGACAAGATCCTCAATAGCAAGATCCGGGTAGGAGGCCATGGGAGGTGGGGAGGCTGGTGGGACCAAGGCTGGGTGATGTGCTTCCCACTCATCCTTTCCATCTGAAGATTCGTCTCTCTCTGCAACTTGGGGAAAGTTCATATATTTCTAGCAGGTATGAATCTCCACTCATCCACAAACTCAAGGCGAGCAAGAAATAGGTCATATCAACAACCCTCAGAATGGGAGAAAATGTTTGCAAATGATATATCTGATAAGGGACTTGTATCCTGAATATATAAAGAACTCTAGAAATCAACAATAAAAGACAAGTACCCCGAGTTAAAAATGGGCAAAGGATTTGAATAGACATTTCCCCAAAGAATTTATACCAATGGCCACTAAGCATATGAAAAATTGCTCAACATCATCAGTCATGAGGGAAATGCAAATCAAAACCACAATAAGATACCACCTCACACCCACTAGGGTAGTTAGTATCAAAATGACACACAATGACAAGTGTTAGTAAGGATGTGGAGAAATTGGAACTTTCACACACTTCTTGTGGAAGTATCGAATGGTGCAGCCATTTTGGAAAACAGTCTGGCAATTCTTCAAGGTTAAACACTAAGTTACTATATGACCCAACAATTCCACTTCCCCAAAGAAATGAAAACCTATGTTGACATAAAAACTCATACACAAATGTTCATAGTAGAATTATTTGTAATAGCCAAAAAGTGGAAACATTCCAAATGTCCATTAACTTGTGAATGGATAAACAAATGTGGTCTATCCATACAAGGGAATATTACTTAGCCATAAAAAGGAATAAAGTTCTGATAGATCCTACCCTAACCCTAACCCAATGTGGATAAACCTTGAAAATGTGATGCTAAGTGAAAGGAGCCAGACACAAAAGGCCAAATATTATATGACTCCATTACATGAAATGTCCAGAATAGGCAAATCTATAGAGATAGAAAATAGACTTGTGGTTGCCAGGGGCTGGGAGGTTTAGGGGAAAATGGGGAGTGACTGCTAAAGGGTACGGGCTTTCATTTTGGGGTCATGAAAGTGCTCTGGAGTTAGATTTTGGTGATGGTTGCACAACTTGTGAGAATACTGAAAACTACTGAACTGTACCTCTAAAAGGGCAAATTTTGTGGTATGTAAATTATACTCAGTAAAGTTGAAGAAAGAGAGAGAGAGGAAGGAAGGAAGGGAGGGAGGAAGGGAGAAAGAAAGAAAGAAAGAAAGAAAGAAAGAAAGAAAGAAAGAAAGAGAAAGGAAGGAAGGAAGGAAGGAAGGAAGGAAGAAAGAAAGAAAGAAAGAAAGAAAGAAAGGGGGAGGGGGAGAAAGAAAGGAAATAGCTCACATCTTCATTTTCTCTGAATCAACTGAATTTCACTTCCAAGCCCCCATCTTCCTGTCCTTGTGGTACATTCAATGTCAGTCTGTCTGGATCCTGCAAAGCACCTGGGTGAGGCCTGGGATTCTTCATCCATAGACACCTGGCCTCTACTCCCTCCCCCAGGGACCCTGCTAACCTACACAGCACTTTAGCTTGCATTAGAAAAAGGCAGTAGGGGCTTCCCTGGTGGCACAGTGGTTGAGAGTTCCCCTGCCGATGCAGGGGACACGGGTTCGTGCCCCGGTCCGGGAAGATCCCACGTGCCGTGAAGCGGCTGGGCCCATGAGCCATGGCTGCTAAGCCTGCGCGTCCGGAGCCTGTGCTCTGCAACGGGAGAGGCCACAACAGTGAGAGGCCCGCGTACCGCAAAAAAAAAAAAAAGAAGAAAAAGAAAAAGGCAGTAGCTTCCTTCACAGAAGGGAGCCTGCATGGGATTTCAGCCCTACACAGCCTCATGGTAAGTTACCTTTGTGCAGTGCACAAACTGCACATCTGTACATGGAAGCCCTGCTTCTTGTCTGGCATCCAGTTTCTCCACACATTCCCTCTTTCCGCTCCCCATTGGAGCAATGAACAGTATTTCCTGTGAAAGGTTCAAAGAGCCTTGACCTTCTGTTTTCTGTCCTGAGGCCAGCAAAGACAGCAGCCTGCTCACAGCTGGAACAGTGCTGGGGGAAATAAAAGAGAATGTATTCAAATTAACCTCTCAATAAATCATCCAGATATATAACATCTATTGAGGGTCAAACATGGGCTGATGCATAATAAGTGTGCAAGAGACAGTTATTATTAGCATCAATTTATTCCCCATCACAACCTAATTCTTAGAAAAACAAACCTACATGCAGCACTTGCCTGTTTAATCTCCACTTCCTGCCACGAATAAGTAAACAACCAGAATTCACAACAGGGCTCAGCAAACTTTTTTTGTGAAGGGCCAGACTATGGTAAGTATTTTAGACTTTGTTGCAATTACTCAACTCTGCTGTAGTAGAATGAAAGCAACATAGACAAGAGTAAATGAATGGCAGGGGCGGTATGCCAACGAACTTGCCTGGTTTGGCCCAGGAACCATAGGTTGCCAGCCCCTGGTTTACAAAATTCTCTCTTTCTTTTTGTTTTCTTTTTAATTTTTTGGCTGCGCCCCGCGACCTGTGGGATCTTCCCCGACCAGGGATCGAACCCATGTCCCCTGTAGTGGAAGGGCAGAGTCTTAACCACTGGACGGCCAGGGAAGTCCTCTCTCTCTCTTTAAATTTCTTTTATTGAAGTATAGTTGATTTACAATGTTGTGTTAGTTTATGGTATACAGCAAAGTGATTCAGTTTTATATATATAATGTATATGTATATATATATTTATATATACATGTTTATAAACATATATATATGTGTTCCTTTTCATATTCTTTTCCATTATGGTTTATTACAGGATTTTGAATACAGCTCCCTGTGCTATACAGTAGGACCTTGTTTTTTATCCAGTCTCTATATAGTAGTTTGTATCTGCTAATCCCAAACTCCCAGTCCATCCCTCCCCCACCCCACCCCCCTGGCAACCACAAATCTGTTCTCTATGTCTGTGAATCTGTTTCTGTTTTGTAGATAGGTTCATTTGTATCATATTTTAGATTCCCACATATAAGTGATATCATATAGTATTTGTCTTTCTCTTTCATTTTTTAATAAATTTATTTATTTTTGGCTGCGTTGGGTCTCCATTGCTGTGTGCGGGCTTTCTCTACTTGCCGCGAGCGGGGGCTACTCTTGGTTGCGGTGCACGTGCTTCTCATTGCGGTGGCTTCTCTTGTTGGGGAGCACGGGCTCTAGGCACACAGGCTTAAGTACTTGTGGCACACAGGCTCAGTAGTTGTGGCTCGCAGGCTAAGAGCACAGGCTCAGTAGTTGTGGCGCACAGGCTTAGTTGCTCTGTGGCATGTGGGTTCTTCCTGGGCCAGGGCTTGAACCCATGTCCTCTGCATTGGCAGGCGGATTCTTAACCACTGCGCCACCAGGGAAGTCCCTGTCTTTCTCTTTCTCATTTACTTCAACGAGTATGATAATCTCTAGGTCCATCCATGTTGCTGCAAGAGGCATTATTTCATTCTTTTTTATGGCTGTGTAATATTCCATTGTGTGTGTATATATATATATATATATATATATGCCACATCTTCTTTATCCATTCATCTGTCAATGGACATTTAGGTTATTTCCATGTCTTGGCTATTGTAAATAGTGCTGCTATGAGCTAAGAAGTGCATGTATCTTTTTGAACTATAGTACAAAATTATCTCTTAACCCTCATGATAATGGTTGAAGGTGGTAAGAAATTGGGCATGAGCAGTATTATATCACTAATGTAGCTCTGAGTAACACTTGGTTTCCAAGACTTGTTCTGCTAACCCCTTCATTATGTTAAGCCCAAGATTATGCTTCCCAAACATTCACAGAGCCCTGCATCAGTATTGTCATGACTCCCATTTTACAGATGAGGAAACTGAGGCACACTGATTAGACTTTGTGTCTTCTGACTTCAGATATCTGTGCTCCTTCTATCACTTTCTCTCCCCACAAAGGACAGCATCCTGCAGGTTCCTATCTCAGTGTCTTCTCTCTCCACTCCCCGGGTGGGGCCAACCCTCTGATCTTGTCCCTTCCCTGCAGGAACGGATCCCCTTCGCTGTGGTCGGGGCTGACCGAGAGCACATTGTGAATGGGAGGTGTGTCCTGGGCCGGAAGACGAAGTGGGGCATCATTGAAGGTCAGTGCAGGGGCCCTGGCGAGGGCTCAGGGGAGAACATGTTGAAAAGCCCTGTTGCCTTTGGCATCCTTACACCCACCACAGAGCCCAGCACAGGAAACAGACAGACCTGGGATCAAGTTCCTTTGTGCAGCTCAGAAGCCCCGGGCAAGTTCCCCAACACCCTGGGCCTCAGTTTCCTCACAGTCAAATGGGTATCATTGTAACATCAACCTCATAGGGTGGTTGGAGGGGGCAGAGCCTCTGCTTTGCATGATACCTGGCACCCAGGAGGCACCCTACTCATTCACTAGAATTGATTGTGGGCCTACTATGTGCCACAGAGCTGACCAGACAAGGACAGGTGGGAAAAGCACAGTGAAGGAAATGTGGGATGGGAGGGGGTACCTGAGGGAGCAGAGGAAGGCCCTGCTGATTCAACAGCTGTTTATAGGAGCCACCTGTACCAGGGGCTGGGACACAGCCGTGAATGAATGAATGAACTAACAAACAAACGGGAGGTGGGCTAACACAGGGAGATGTGGGGAAGGGCTGGCAGTGGCGGGGGTGTGCAGCATACAGCAGGTGCTTACTTGGTGCTGGCCGAGGGCGGGGCGTGGAACAGAGCCTGCACTCAGGGGTTTGGTGCCGTATCTTGTAGTGGAGAACATGGCTCACTGTGAGTTCCCCCTCCTGAGAGACCTGCTCATCCGGTGAGCATGTGGGGAGCCCGGGGGGCTGCGGGGGCCCTGGAGGATGCCCTGGAAGTCCTGCTGACCTACCACCTATCTCCCAGCTCCCACCTCCAAGACCTGAAGGACATCACACACAACGTCCACTATGAGAACTACCGCATCTTCAGACTGAATGAAAGCCACGTGCTGCCCCGAGGGCCCGGCTGGGTGAACCTGGCCCCAGCCCCGGCCTCTGTCCCTGCCCCCGCTGGCCCCCAGGCCAACCCCGGCCCCCCAAAGGTCGGTGGGTGGGCCAAGGACAACTCAGATGAGGAATGCTGAGCACCGGCACATCCCGGGCCCGCGGGGCTACCCAAGTCCTGGGCAGGCCCCTGACACACTAGAGCATGTATTAAAGGGTGGACATTGCTTTTTATGAAAAGCTGTGCTTTGAAAACAAAAGGTGTTTTGTAAATGACTTCTTTGAGCTATCCTCAAATAAAAGTATTGTTCTTTCTAAAATAGTGTGAGACTCTCAGGCCCTCAGGAGTCTTGAAGACCTGGGAGGGCCTGCCTTGGACGACCAGCCCCTTCTGCCCCAGAACCAGAGTCAAGTTCCAAATCATGCTCTGCTATCTGTATCAGGCTCTGATGTCTGTCCCAAAGCCTCCCTCCTGCACGGGGCGTCGTAAACACTTAAAAACTCATCTTTGCCATCTTCCCCAAACTCTGTGTCCCTCACTCCTGCCTTCCCTTTTGCCCCACCCTGGCAGACCAGAATGGTGAGAAAACAATTCCAACTTTGGAGTCTGGCAAAGCTGATGTGAAAATCCCCGCCCTGCCATTGACCTTGTGCGATGTGACCTTGGGCGAGTCACTTACTCTTGTGGGCCTCAGTGTCCTCATCTATAAAACTGGGCTGATACTATCGCTCCCACAGTGTTGTTGTGTGGACAAAACGGAGTGATTCATGGAATGTGCCTGCCACCCCTGGAGAAACAGCTCTCAGAGATGACAGGAACAGCAGAGACCACGGGTACAGGGCAGAGGCTGTGCCCACAGGGTGTGTGAGCACTTCCCAGGACTCCCTGGAACCCTCGAAAGGAAATGGACTTCATGGAAGCCCACATGGTACACCCAAGCTCCCCTAGGGCGCAGGCAGGCAGTGAGCATTCAGTAAGTGACCGTGGGGAGCAGCAGTGGTATCCCAGCTGCTGGCCTGCACGCTCCTGGTCACCGGGGCAATCTTTTTCTCGGGGGGTGGGTATTCCAAGGACAATTGGTCCTGCTCTCTGCTGATGACTTTACCTCCAGTTTTGGAAGCTCTTTTCACGCCCACAGTGATGCTGCAGCCCATGCTTGGCACAGACTCAGTTGTGTACCCAGTAATGGCCGTGCACAGATTTCTTCTGCATTTCCTGACCTGGGTCAGCTGGGTGAGGGTGAAGGCCTCAGCTGACACGTCTTGGGATTCCCCAGGCCCTGCAAGCACGGATTACAACTCCAACTCTGCCGCTTTTTAACTGCAGGACTTTAGACAAGTCACCTGACATCCCAGAATCCACTTCCTCCTTTGGAAAACAGAGACAGCATCGCCAACCTCCTACTTCAGGGTGTGTGAAGACAAGCCTGTTCACAGATGCCCAGGTCCCATAAGGAGCCATTTTACTGATTGTTTTGTTCCGTTTTGTAGGCACGGCGAGGGGCGGTGGTTTCTTTTATGTGGTATACTAATCAGGTTCATGTCATAATGATACAATCATCGTATTAACAATAGTGGGCATTTTTTTAAATGGGGAATCACAAAATGAATTCCCATGTACCTGGTATAATAAAATATTCCCCCGATTTCACGGACGAGACTGTTCATAGCAGCTTAATTTATGATAGCCTATAACCGGAAACTGCAAATGTTGGGTGGCAGTGTAAGGTCGGATCTTAACAAACGGCACTGCGAAACAGAGGAAAGCTTCAAGTGAGCTTTATTAGGGAGCGCTCCCGGGCGAGGTTCACTGGTCCGAGAGAAAGGGGCCAGAGAAGTCGCACCCGAGCGAGGGTTGGGCAAGATTTTATAGGGGAAGAAGGGAAAGGGGTGTGGTGAATCTGGCAGGGCGCAGGGTATTCCTTATTTGGTGGTCTTTTCGGGTATCCTGGGGGACCGTTGGTCCCGCCCCTCGAAAGGCGGGAAGGCTGGGCTGGGTTCAAAGTCCCCAGGTCAGTTTCTGGAACTGGGTGGTCCGGAACGTCGCCAGGGCAGTTTCTGGAACTGGGTGGTCCGGAGAATTTCGTTCTGATGCAACCTGTGAATCTGAATGTGTTCCCCTGCCTCGGGCCAGTTGGCCTTACAGGCAGGAGAGTGGATAAGCTATGGCAGAGTCACACAATGGACCACTCCTGGGCAATAAAAATGAACCTACTACTGATAAAAACAGCAGCATGGGTGAGTTTCACAGACCTAATGGAGAGTGAAAGAAGCCAGCAAGCAAAGAGAATGCACCCAGTGGATGCCCTTTTACAGAGTTCAAGAACAGGAAAAATCAATTGAAGGTGATGGAAATAAGATTTGTGCTTTTGGGCAAGGGCTGGGAGTGCCGCTGGGGAGGGGCATGAGGGAGCCTTCAAAGAATTGAAAATGACCTATATTTTGATCTGGGCGAGGTTACACAGGTGTACAGCTTTGTAAGATTCTTTGAGCCATACCCTTCAGATTTGTGCACGTTACCGTAGCCATGTTATACTGCAAGTATAAAAATCTTAGATGGTGAAGAGAAATTTTAAAAAATTAAAATAGGAACAGTATACAACTAATAATGCCTGCTTAAAAATCAGTACTGCAGTTATTTAAAATTATTTATGAGAATATTTGCTAGGTTTCAATATTTCAAGAATGCAAATTCCCAATAGTGGCTATTTTGTTGTTGTTGTTGCTGCTGCTGTTAAAAATGCACATTAGGGGCTTCCCTGGTGGCGCAGAGCTGAAGAATCCACCTGCCAGTGCAGGGGACATGGGTTCCAGCCCTGGTCCGGGAAGATCCCACATGCCGCGGAGCAACTAAGCCCGTGTGCCACAACTACTGAAGCCCGTGCGCCTAGAGCCCGTGCGCCTAGAGCCCGTGCTCCACAGCAAGAGAAGCCACCACAATGAGAAGCCCGCGCACCTCAACGAAGAGTAGCCCCCAGTCGTCGCAACTAGAGAAAGCCCGCACGCAGCAACGAAGAATTAATGCAGCCAAAAGTAAATAAATAAATAGGGGGGGGAAGCACATTAAGGGACTTCACTGATAGTCCAGTGGTTAAGTCTCTATGCTCCCAATTCAGGGGACCCAGGTTCAATCCCTGGTCAGGGAACTAGATCCCACATGCCGCAACTAAAAGCCCGCCCGCATGCCTACACTAAAGATCCCGCATGCTGCAACGAAGATCTTGCATGCGGCAACAAAGATCCCATGTGCCGCAACTAAGACCCAGCACACACAAATAAATAAATATTAAAAAACAAACAATCTCTGTGAGATTTATCCCTCCATCATTCTGTTGATCGACATTGAAATTGTTTTTAGGTTTTATCATTACAAAGAACACTGCTCTGAACAGAGAGGAAGTCTTTATTATTTACAAAATTAGCATATATTAAGCCTTTATTATGTGTCAGGCATTCTATTGCCTATTTAAATCACAACAGCACCTATCCCAGGTGTTACTATCCTCATTTTACTAAACTGTTATTCTTACGTTCTCCCTCCTTCACCCCAGCCGAATCAGCCCCAGGGCATTGTGGCTTCTGCTTTAGGAATCTGGGTCAGATCCCTGCTTCTATGACTACCACCATCACTAGTATTACCTCAACTTCGGGCCCCAGGAGCTTCCAGCTGCTCTCACTGCTCCTCTCTAGATCTGTACTCCACAAAGTTTCCTCTCCTGTCAGGACACTATCCTGCTTAAAACCCCAAACTCTATTGGTTTCCCCTTGCTCTTAAGATATAACCCTCAATCCTCACAGGAGCCGCCCAGGCCCTCCTGCTCGGTCTCACCTCTCCAGCCTCATCTCCCAAGCTTGGCCCCCTGCACCGGGGCCACAATGGTCTCCTTTCTGTCCCGCAAATGCACCCCGATCTCTTGGGCCTCAGGACCTTCACACCTGCGGTTCCTTCTGTGTGGACCCCTCTTCCCCCATTCCTCAGGCTAACTCTAAGATACCTCCCTTCCTCTGCTCAACTGTCACATCCATCCTAAGAGAGACAGGTCCTCTCTTCTCTATCCGTTTGGCAGCATTCACCAAAGAGGTGACTAAACAATTATTTGTGCAATTATTTGTCTGCTGTATGCCTCTCTTTGCAGAATGTAAGTTCCATGAAAGAAAGCACTTGTTCACCACCGCCGCCGAAACCCCAGCACCTAGCAGAGCTGGCAGATGTGATCGCTCATATGTGGCTTTAAAAAATATATGTATGAATGGATGAAAGGATTTTGAACGACTTAACGTCGCCCATTCACACATGTGGAAACTGAGGCTAAGAGCACGCAAGGGACTGGCCCGTGGCCTCGGCAAGGACAAAGTCGCGGCCAGAGGCTTCTCCCCAGCCCCTCGGAAGGCCACCTACAAGACAGACCCTCAAGGCAACGTGACCCCGCCCCGCCCCAAAGGGTCCCCTGGGTATCTGCCAGTCAGGCGCGGCGCGCAACACGCTGGAGAAGTAGTCCGGCCGCTCCCCGATTCCGGCGCCCGCGACTTCCGCTTCTGGCGGGCACAGTCCTCGTGCGAGGCTTTGGGAAAGACGTGGGAGACCGCGGCGGTCGGTCCGTTCTTGGTCTCTGTCGCTGCGCGGCGGACGTTGTCCTTGGTTGTGCGCTGAGTTCGGTGCGCTGGGGCTCCTTCCCGGGCGCGGAGGTTGAAACTCCGGGAAGGGAGGTGATTTGCGTGCGGCCGCAGTCTTTGGGGCAGAGGCGGGACTCGAATAATGGCTGCCTCACCTTCCCGGCCTCTTTTCGCTGTGGCGTCACCGGGCGCGCTACAGAGCGAGTTCAACCAAAAGGACAGGGAGAGAGTCAAGGGTAGCCGACTGAGTCAGGCCTTAGGATGTCTGCGATATTATTACTGGCTAGAGTGGATTAACCCGGGACTTAGGAGCTGTAGTTCTGGAATCAAGAATTTGTGTTCCAGGGACTTCTCTGATGGCGCAGTGGTTAAGAATCCGCCTGCCATTGCAGGGGACACGGGTTTGATCCCTGGTCCGGGAAGATCCCACGTGCCGCGGAGCGATTAAGCCCGTGCGGCACAACTACTGAGCCTGCGCTCTGGAGCCCGCGAGCTACAACTACTGAAGCCCGAGTGCCTGGAGCCCGAGCTCCGCAGTAAGAGAAGCCACTGCAATGAGAAGCCCACGCAC